CACTTCACAATTATTGATACAATCTTTAATCATAAAATTTTGATTTTTATGATAATACAATTGAGAGAAATGCATTGCTGTTTGAGTTTGACCAATATGGCCCTGATCTTCATGATATCTTTTTATCAAACTTTTTGCCATTTCTTCAGATAAAATGTATCTTCTTTTATTATTGATATATCTTACATACAACCCATTGAATGTTGTACTACCAGGAGGAGGTGATTCAAAATTTTGTTGATCTTGTTCTATTTCCTGCATTGAGAGATAATTAATCTCAAAATCTGGATTTCTAGAAAGAAAATCCGCTTCAATATTTTCTTTTCCTGGAATGTATTCTACCTTGAAATTGTATTGACTCAATTTCAAAGCCCAGTTCATAATTCGGGTGTTTGGACTTGTATGATTTTGAATATATTTTAATGGACGATGGTCAGTCCTTATAATAAAAGTATTTCCATACAAATAATGATGCCAATATTTAATAGATTCAATGATAGCTAAACATTCTTTTTCAGTAGCAGAATAATTCATTTGATAAGGAAGTAATTTCCTTGAGAAATATCCTACCGTAACCATTGAATTATCATCATCTAATTCAGTGTTTTTCTGTTTCAATACTGCGCCAATTCCAACATTAGATGCATCTGTTATTAAGATGGTAGTCTTTGAATAGTCAAAGAGATGCAAAACTAAATCTGAAGCCAAAATTTTAATTATTTTTTTAAAAGATTCTTCATTTTCTTCTGACCAATCAAATTTTTCATTCTTTCTCAACAATTTGTACATTGGTGAAAGTAATTCTGTTCTATTAGGAATAAATCTTTGATAGAAATTGATTTTTCCTAAAAATCTTCTCAAGGATTTCAAATTTGTTGGCGGTGGAAATTCAATTATTGCCTGTCGATTACTATTCAAAGGTCTTATAGAATTATGGCTGATATTATGGCCAAGGTAATCGACTTCTGATTTTGCAAATTTACATTTTGTAGTTTTCAATTTTATATTGGATTCTCTCATTGCTTTGAAAACTTTTTCTAGATGCAATATATGCTCGTCGAATGTTCTCGAGAAAACAATGATGTCATCGATATAATTATGAGAAAATTTGATTAATCCTTTTTGCTTTAGAATTGCATAAACTGATCTTTGAAAAATAGCAGGAGCATTTTTCAATCCGAATGGCATTACTTTCCATTCATAATGTTCATTCATTGTCGCGAAAGCTGTCTTATGACGATCACTGGGTTTGATTGGAATATGATGGAAACCAGATGATATATCCAGAGTAGTAAAATATTTCGCATTCAACAATTTGTTTTCAATGTCCTGAATATTGGGCATTGGATATGACTCTGTAATTGTGATGTCGTTCAATTTCCGATAGTCAACACATAATCTAGTCTTCTTTCCATCATCCTTTTTATCAACCAATACAACAGGAAAAGAATAATTTGATGTAGAAATTTGAATAAGATCTTTTTCAAGTAGTTGTTCGATTTGTTTATCAATCAATTCTTGATCAGAAGGAGATGTGCGATATGGTCTAAGATTAATTGGTACACTGTGTTTCAGATTGATTTCACAGTAGCTATCAATTTTTCCTACATTGCCAGTTTCGGTAAAGACATCCGAAAATTCTCCTTTTAACTTTTCAATTTTCTCAACATCAGTGATTTCCTGAAGATTGTTCAACTGAAGCTTAATTTTACCATCTTGACTTTTATATGTCATAATTTCATTTCTCCTGTTTTTCAAAAGTTGAAATACCTTACCATGGATAAAACGTACGATTCGGAATTTATCTAAAACATCGATTCCAATAATAATTTTTTTGAAATTTGGAATCACGAAAAATTCCTGACATTTTGTTATTTCACCAATCTTTAATTTAATTAACACTTTTGCTACAACTTGCGTTGTAGAAACAGCTTCGTTTATCGTTGCAAAGTATGGTATAAGATCGAAACCATTTTCTTTACAGAGATCTAAATCAATAAACGAGTGTGATGCACCAGGATCATATAAACCAAAATTTTCTACATTATTTATTTTAATCTTAATCATTGTAAGACTGTTTCCACCAGTAAAGACTGTATTAACATTTGTTTGTGGATAATTGTCTCTGTTTTCACATAAAGAGGTATTATGTTTACCATGACATAATCGACAAACAAACCCTAATGGGCAATCATTAGTCAAGTGAAAAGAGGAGAAACATCTTACACATCTTTTTTGAGCATTCAAGATTTTAAATTTTTCTTTTATTGGCTTAGGACAAGATGTTGGAGTATGATTTTCTTTACAAAAGACACAATCTTTATTTTGTTTAAATTTTTGTTTTTGTTGTTGTTGTTGATATGGTACCATAACATTTGTTGCACCTGAAGTCGAAGGTGTATTCAAGATAGCATTTAATTGTTGTTGTTGTTGATATGGTACTATAATATTTGTAGCATTTGATGTCGAAGGAGTATTCATAATAGCATTCAATTGTTGTTGTTCATTAGGAAATGTTACTGTTGGTTGTTGTTGTCGATATCTAGGTGCGGAGATCCTAGGATTATAATTTGTCCGATTGAAATTTCTTGGAGTGAAATTATTATAGAAAGGATTCTGTTGAATATTCTGTCTCGGACGTGGTCTAAAATTCTGATTTCTCGAATATGAGAGGTTCGATTTAGACAGAATGATTTGTTGTTGTTCGTTTTGTTCTATGTACATGGTAATATTTGTGAGATATTGCGAAACCGTAAGTTTGGATCCATACTTCTGCATTAGATCTCTTACAGCATCTCTCGGAAATTTAGATGCTACAATGTAATAGAAATCAGTTTCTAGGAAAGATCTGTTGTTCGAGCTTTGGGATAGAACTGTGTAGGCATCTTTAATAATAGCTAAGTTACTTCGCATTTTGTCTGTATCATACCAGTTTCGAATTTCTGGTAGATTCTCAACTTTAGCTTTCAATCTTTGTTGTAACGGATGAGAAGATGTGTAATACTTAACCACAGTTCGATAAGCTTCGATGTAATGTGGTTCCAAGATCCCAGCTATTAAGTCTAGCGACTTTGGATCTAGTTTTTCTCTAAGCAGTAGTAACTTACCGCAATCGTCACAATTTGTGCAATGAATGTGTTGGTTAAATGTGTTTATGAAAGAATGGAATTTTTCGAAAGTTCCATCAAATTTTGGGACTTTATCAGCCCATTTCAAATTAAATTGTTTTGTGTATTGTGGTTCAGGTTGATTTATTTCATCTTCCTGAAATGGTAATATACTATGATGTGTTAAATTAGAAGGGTAATTTTGATTAGTCTGATTTGGGAATGAATTAGTGGGAAATTGTATATTTTGTCTGGTATTTACAAATGTAGATGATTGTAATGTATGAATAGGTTGTTGCGTATTTGTGGGTGCTGGAGTTTGGGAAGGGAGAGGTCTACCAACCGCCTGACCTAATTCTCTTTGATATTGGTTCACTATTCCTTGTTCGGGAGTGTAAAAATTTCTCTGAGGATCCGGAGTTGGTAGAATAGGAGCGGAAGATGAGTTTGGATTCATTTGCTCATTTGATTCTGAAAAGAGAATATCATGGCTTTCAGCGAAAGCTTTTTGAATGTTCTCAATTAGAAGTAGACAGAGTGTTACTTCATCTTGTTTGCTTACGTCGATGTTACCCAATTTCACTTGCTCTTCTACCTGCGAACCTAATTCGCCAAGTCTGTTTAGATAACTTTCTAACAAGTCTGTCTTTTCTCTAACGAATTCATTGTCAAATTGACTCTGAATTCTTTTATTCAGTTCTATTAGAGCCGTATGGATTTCTTTTATCTCATCTTGAATTTTTTTTATTTGTGATCGTGTTGTCATAGTGAAAGTGAAAGCTTAAACAAAGAAATACAATAAAATTTCAAATTAAGACTCACCCACTTATAATCTTTATATTATTTTATTTTTATTTTTCAAATAATGTGCCAGCTTCGTGGGCAATTGTTTCTTCGAATTTGTTAAACGTCAGCTTGAAGCTTATGAAAATCGATAGTAGGAAAACCAAATCCTACTGGCTTGTAATTTTTGATATTGGACTATATCCACTTCTGGATGGCCAATCCTTGGTCAATACGGTCCAATCAATGATTTTGATGGAAATTTAGCAGCTATGTTGATTTTCACAAGTTTCTAGTTGCGTTCGTTTTTCTTTGTGCACAAGAAAAACGTATTCTTCAAAGAAATTATAAATTTTTGGTACAAATTATGGTTTAAACAAAATATTTTTATTTTATTGAAATTTAATAAATTTAATTTTGCAACCAAAATATTTGACAAAATCATCTTCATTTTCCTATCCTTTTTATACTTGAAAATTGGGAGGGAAATGGAGGATGAAAGAACAGAAACTTTCCATGAATGGAAAGTCATAGGACATTTGATAAGGAATTTAAAGTCTAAATTTTAGAGGATGTTGAACTCGATTGCGATAACAATGAATAAAGAAATTAATTGAATTTGTTATCATTTGCTAATCAAGTTGATTCTAAAATTAACTAATAATCAATTTAGCTATTTATGCCCGATAAAACTTCATTTTATCTTATTTGCCATCGAGTCGTATGATTTTCAAAAGACCTTTAAACAGTTCAATATACTTTATTTTTGGGTCCACAATAATTCATAAACATCATATGATGTCCAAATGGCGTGAATTTGGGGTGTTTATTACATCCCCCCACCTTATGATGGTTGGTAGGCGTGAAGAATTGAAGAATTTAGGCAAGCATTATTGATTAAGTAACTATTGAAAAAAAAAACTATTGATCCAAAATTGGTTGGATTATTGAAAAAGGAAATATGGACACAAAAAAAAGGTGAATACAGAAAAGAATTATTTGAAAAGGGAAAGAAAGAAAAGAAAGAATAAAGGATTGTTCAATGATGATTTTCTTACCAAAATATTCTGTTGTTTGGGAAATTTACAAATTATTGATTTTTTTAACAAAATATAGAATAATTTAGGGGAAAATTGAAAATAACAAAATATTTGCTAACAAATTGATTATCCTTCGTATTCATGATCTCGACACTCGCAAATGAGCCAATTGGTATTGCTCACGAGCCACTTGTTGATATGATCTGGCTCTTATTCGATAATAAGCAAAAAGAATCATTGTTATTACAATTATTATGGATAATATGGAAATAATGATGTATAAATAATATTGAGAAAAATATGAAACAACTATTTTGTTGATCAATTTATCTTCTTGTTCAACTAATGTAGTTAAATCTTGAAGATTCACTGATGAATTAAAAGAGTTGAAAATTCGAAAATTAATTAATTCGTTGAATTCATCTTGTAAATTATGGACTATATTGATTTTAATTTTATGGAATTTTACTGTTTGATTATTGATGGTTAAATTTTGACCTAGTTTTGATTTGTATATTTGATTTTTACATGGATAAAAATTTTGTTGTAATGTCATATTTTGGAGGAAACAATAATAATAAACAAAATTTTCATCAGTCTTTACTTGCACGATTTCTTCCGAAGTCATTTCTTCTTTCGGTTTGCAATCTACTGTTTTCCATTTTGCTCCAAAATTTTGAAAATTGTTATTACAATTTATAGAATGGAATATAAATGGAGCTTGATAATCATCATACGGATTGAATATGATATTCTTGGCGCATTTCGTTTCCTTATCCATTACGGAATAAGACGGACCTGTATAAACTGAAGTACAAAGATTGGATGAATTCAATTTATCATTCACAATTAGGTGAAATGGGTCAGCACGAAGAATTTCATATCGTCTGTCAATTTTGATTGCGTTAATATTTAATCGTAATAAAGAGTCTGATGGTTCTCTTGCAGCATATATCTTGCAACTTTCTAAATGCCAATTTTCTGGTGGACAATCATTACAGATCGAAAGATTATTAAACAATTGGAAAATTGCTTTTGGAATAGGTTTATCAACGGATTCCGAAAATACTTCATGTATTATTGTTTCTATTTGATAGAACTTTGCAAGAAACAATGATGGAATCTGTTGTTGATAAGATAAATGTCTTAACCTTTCCATTTCTTGATGTAATTGAATGATAGCATTAACCATTTTTGTATTAATCTGGTGTTCGATTCTGTACAGTTCTGCTTCCGACATTGATGTTTCATGAATTCCTGATTGACTTTTAACAAAGGCATTGAATCCAATAGTTGCTCCCATAACAATAAGTGTTGCCACAACACCAGCTGCAAATGTGAGAACATTTCGTTTCGGTTTTGGTTTTTGCTGATAATGAAGAGGTGTGCAATGTTTTTGTAAGGCATGTATTACGATTTGTTGATACATTCCTTCACATTTGCT